TTTTAGAGAGGTGGGGGGAGGTAAGCTGTGTAGGGTTTCTCTTGGTTGCGAAGAGTGTGGCATAGCGTAGTTCCGCTCCACCGCAATAAGGAATTTTGCTAACCGCTTAGAAAAACATAGTTTCATCAGGGATACATAATCAACGATCGCAAATCGAACTCGCAGTGGATGAAGAGTGGGGCAACTCAAGAGGTGCAGAGCTGTTTCTTCGCATTCGTTGCGTTGACTCTGGGGCGTGCGCGGGTCTGAAACCCTTCTGTTTCCTTCTCCCCCTTTCCCGGTCCTAAAACAAAACAAAACAAAAAAAAAAAAATACAGGGGCAAAAAGCGAAAAAAATACAATAAAATAACACATTTGTTTTCAACTGTAAGATTTGAAACATTCTTTTTTTTTTTCGGAGGGAAATCCCCAATGGTCCCACGGGGGGAGGGGTTAAAGTAAAAACAAATAAAAAAAAACCGTACCATCAAATTAAAAGAAAAGAAGATAGGGCGTGTTTTTTTTTTTTTTTTTTATTTCCTATTCTTCGAATTGGCCCTGTTGCTATAGAATCGAGATCCCAACAGCCCCGTTTGATAATATCAAATGTCTAAATAAAGGAGACAAAGAAAAAAAAAAAAAAAAAGAAATCCTTTGTCTACCTATTTTGCTAATTTTGGCGTAAAATGAAAGTGATCTGCGACAACGCGTGCGACACAAAACGTGACACCCTTGGCAAATGGTACATGAAGGAATTCATTTGGACCATGAGCATTACTTTTTGGTCCGAGCACGCCTGTAACAATAAACTGCGCCTGTGGGAACTTCTTTAGCAGCATCGCAATAAAGGGAATAGAACCACCCATTCCTTGTGAAGCAAATGGTTTTCCAAATGCAGCTTGACTTCCTTCTGTAAGGGCTTTAGCAAGCCAAGGCTGAAGTTCAGGAGTTGCACAACCGGATCCTGCGGCATCTGTATGAAATTTAACCTTTGCACCATATGGAGGGTTTGCTTCCAATACTTTTCGAAGAGCTTCTGTTGCTTTAGTTGAGTCCACCAAAGGTGGTACACGGAGTGAAAGTCGAAAAGTTGATTTTGCACGAATAACATTTCCTGCTTTTTCACTTTCTGGAAGATTAGCACCTGTTACTGTTAGAGAAGGTTTCCAAAAATTACGAAGTGCGAGTTCAGCGTTATCACCTGGTTCTGTAGAAACTCCAGATAAAAGAGGAAATTGTCCCTTGAAGTCAACTTCATTCATAGTTTTCAAACTTTTCATAACTGAATCAGGAACATCACAATATGCTTCAGGAATTTTTACCGTTCCAGTAGCAGAGTCTTCAATTCGATCAAGCAACATACGTGCAATACGGAATGTGTCAGGAACCACACCACCAGCGAGACCACTATGCATACCCTCTGTCATTGTTTCAATTGAAAGTATACCTCCTCCAACACCTCGAAGAGCTGTGGTAAGCCAAAGTTGATCATAATTCATAGCCCCACTATCAAGGCATATAAGTAAGTCAACATTTCCAATACGAGCGCTGCATTTCTCAATATAATAAGGTAAGTCAAAACTTCCAGATTCTTCACATGCTTCAATAATTGTAACGATACGTCCATGAGGTAATCCGTGTTTTTGAACTGCTGCCACAGCGCTTAATGCAGAATAAATAGCATATCCATCATCTGCTCCACCTCGACCATAGAGTTTTCCGTCACGGTATACCGGTTTATAAGGGTGTAGTCCTTCATCCCATGGAAGAAGAGGTGGTTGTTTATCCATATGTCCGTACATTAAAAGAGTATTGGCAGTGGGTTCTGTTCCTTCAATTTCCACAATAAGAAAAGGTGTACGCCCTTTTTCTTCAATAACTTCATACTTAAGACCTTTAATACTTTGTGCTTTTACCCAATCCAGAATAACATTCATAGCTTTATCCATAAGACCATTAGTAGCCCATTCTGCATCATAATGAGGACTTTGGTTTGGTACTTCAACATATGCAGTGAGGGAAGGTACTATTGTCTTGTCCCATTCTTGGGAAATGGTTTGAGACACAGCACTCCAATCCGTCGTCATTTATTATTATTTTCTTTTTTTGCGTATTCTTCTTATATGTAGAGATTCAAAGAAAAAAAAAATAAAAAAAAAAAAGGATATGAATTAGAAATTGCTTTATTTATATTTCCGTGTCTTTCTATGGTATAGGGATTCACTTAGTTCCTCAGATAAGAATTCACCTTTCTAGGTGGGTGAATACATACATATAATAAATTATTATTATTTTTCGTTTCGTAATTTCTTTTTTTTTAATCATCATCATCATCATCGTTTTCCCATTATGTTTCCATCAACAGATTCGTCATCAAACAAAATAGAGAGTTCCTTTACCTTATTATTTTCCTTCATATTACTATCGGGGTTTACCTTTGATCGATAATGTTTCTCATGAGAAGATGATATTATAAAAGGGGTACTATAATCTTCAACTAGAATAAATTCCCTCAACAATGCCATACTATACGCATATCCAGGTAAAGTAAAATGAAGGGCAAGAGACTTTGAGCCTTCTTTTGTTGTATCAGAACTTGTTAGCGAAAGAGCACCTACAGGTAATCGATCTGATAATCGATGACCATATTTACCTATTGGCCAAGGATTTTGGGGTTGACCTCGTGAAGAGGTAGTATAACTAGAATTTTGTCGTAGTTCCATATCTGTAAGTAATTTATAGACTCTATCTCCTTCTTTTTCTTCTTCTTCTTCAGAAATTGCACTTGGTTCTGGAAGAGTTTTAATCCAAGGATAAACCGTACGAGGGTAACCACTAGCTTTTGTGAAAAGTGAACGAAAGTTTACTTGAACTCCAGATGTATCTTCAAGTTTACATAAAGGGAAACGGAAACCCAATAAGTATGACAACTCTTCTATAACTTCATTATTTTGCAAACCAAATGGAATAACAATATCATGAAGTGTATAAGAGGTTCCTATTTCCATTGTAAGAATTGGTAATATACCATGAAATCTTTTATTATCATGACTATTAAAAGTATTATAAGATTTCTCATGAATTATAGACTCTATAGAAGTTCCAAGAGTATTTAATGGGAAAAGTTCTAATTTTGCTATATTTTCATCATTTCCTACATGTTCATTTTTATCTAATACAAAGTCTCCAAGATCAGGAGAACTATCTAAAGAATTTTCTCCTACTTTATGAACACGACAACTAGCAAGTATATTCCAAAACAATGCACTTTTACTTGTTGAAATTTGTCTCTTTAACCCTAATGGAATATGAAGTTGATACCACTGTCTCAATACTGCAGGTCTATCCTCTCCTTGACGAAGTAATTCTACTAATTCTTTTATCCATCCTTCAGAATTTGTATTTGATATATTATAAGCAATAGTAGCAGCAATAATAAGTGATTCAGCAGGCATATTTCGTTCCCACGCAGCTGCCGCATGATATGAACGAAAAGGACAAAGTGGTGTTAAAGGACCAAAATAACGAGGACCAAAATAGTTAGGAAATAGAGAAAATTTTGATAATAATCTCTTTTCTAAATAGTTTTGTGTATTTGTTCCTATAGTTGTTGAATTTGTTATACCTCTTACAAGCATACTATACTGCATTTGAGATTTATAACCTTTAGAAGGGTTACATGAAAAAGAACGCCAACCTAAAATTTGAATACTGATCTGGAGTGGCTTAAGATTAATCTGTAATAATCGTTTCATTATCATTTCTCGATAAGTCTCAAATTTAGTATTAGTATTATCTTTAGTATCAGGAAATTTTATACGAACACTGCAGACTTGAACCGTTACAGCAGATTCTTCTAGAGCAATATTAGTGGCAAAATCTTCTGGGAGACATAATCCATTACATGCTTCACTCATTAAAAGAAATGCATCATAAAGTGAAAGTCTTTCTTTATACAAAAGAAAATGAAGATATGGATTTTCTAATCCTAATAATCCTTGACAATAAGAAGATGCCATACTTGGTAATGTTGGATCAGTAAAAGTGACTATTTTTCCATTAGGGAGTATTTCTGCCACTTGAATATCACTATTGTACAAACGAAACCCACGTAATCGATTATGTCGGACACCATCTTTACCTTGATATAATCTTGATGAAATTCCTGCTTTAAGTTCTATATTTTGCATATTAGATGGTGTCTGCAATTTTCCAAATTCAGAAAGAATAGTAGAAAGTTCACCACCTTTTCGGATAGCTTGCAATAAATCTCTAGCCAGCTGTAGAGCATTCTCAATATCTATAGCATTAGCTACACGTTTAATTATAGTAGGATCCAATGATGGGTTATAGAGGGATAAGAAATCTTCTACATTTCTCTTCGGTATACCACTTTGAGTTTCCTTTTTTATGTTTACTTCTCTTGCGACACACAATCCTGGCGGCAAAGGAGCGGCCTGGTTTACCTGAAGAAGTTTCCGCAAAATAGAGGATAAATCCAAACTCTCATTTGGAGATTCCTTTTCCATGAATGAGGTTAATAATAATAAAGAAGAAGAAGAGGCAGAGGCAGAGGAGGAGGATGCCTCCAATTGCATGTGAAACTCCTTCACGACGGGTGAAATAAAAGGAGAGAAATGAGATGTCATTATAAATTTCTGTGGACGAGAAGCGACACGCCGCACCCGCATCCGCCGGGTTACAGCCGCCATGGCTCTCTCCACAGTAGGGAGTCGCGGCGGCATATTTCTTTCAATCACACCAGAAAATAATAAAAGAATAAAAAATAAGAAGAAAGATGTGAAGAGACGGAGTGTTAAGGTATATTAGACATTCGGAGAAAAAAAACAATTAGAGAAAGAGAGAGGGAGTGATTACCAACAGGAATTACATGCGTGAAGACACCCCACTCCCCTCTCCAACTCCAGTAAGAGAAAAAAAAAGAAAACAGCAACAACAACAAGAAGAGATATTTGTAAACAGACATGTTGGGATCCCAAAAAAGGTTGAATTGGAGAAACAAACAGAAAAAAAAAAGAAAGAAAGAAAGAAAAAAAAATCGGTCTGGGTTTCACCCAGGTGATACCCTTCACTCATTTTCTCTCTCTCTCTCTCTCTCCCTCACCCACACACATCAAAATAATAATAATAACAATAATAAAAAAAAAAGAACAAACCAACCCCAGAAAACTGACTAGATAATAATTTTTCTTCTACTACTGATAATGTTTGCTATGCTATTTCCATTTTTCTTTCAATATTTGATTTCTTTTCTTTTCTTTTTCTTCTTTTTTTCTACTTATTCTTTTTGGCACGTATATTAGAAGAGGCTGCCAACTTTTTATGATCACCGTTTAAACAAGCGAAACGCACAACCAATTCAGAAAGGATTGGAAAGTCAAGAAGCCTGTTCACAAAACGGAGACCTGCAGAAGTTACTCCCTGATCCCAAACAGTCAAACGTCCTGCGGAGGCAAATATTTGATTAGCAATATTCATTGGACTTCCTGCTGCTTTTTGTGCCATTTTTAAAGAATCTAAAGATGGTCCTTGTGTTTTAAAAAAGTTAGTGTTTACAGGAGAAGGATGAATCACCACCACATCAATTCCAATATCATGAACCTCAGAAGCAAGAGAAGTGGCGAAATTGGTTAAAAATGCCTTTGAAGGTCCATACATAGATGCTGTTGGACTTGGAAGATAACAGGCGGAGGAGGAAGTGAAAGTGACAAGACCTCGACGACCTCTTTCCATCATTTTACGTAGAAAATGATGGGTTATGGGTATCACACAAGAGGAATTACATTCCACATTGGCTCGTAAACGTTCAATTAATGCATCTTCAAATAATCCTGTACTGATGTATCCAGCGTTATTAAAGAGAAGATTAATTTCAATATCCTTTGTAGCTTCAATAATTTGAGTCATATATTTCATACTTCCATCACCCAAATCAACTCCTACCTTTCGAAAATTTTGTTTTGGATATTTCTGTTGAAGTTCAGCAAAGGTTTTATTTGCAAATGGATCATCTAAAGCAACAAGAACGACATTTATTTCTTGTTCAGCAAGTTTTTCCGCAATAGCTTTACCAATACCACTACTGGCACCTGTAACAAGAGCCCACTCTGCATTGTATTTCTTTTTAAGATTTTGTGGGAATCGCATCGCCAGTTGCTGCAGTACAACTCCCAACAGGTACGTTCCCAGGCTGATCATACCAACAAGTGTGGAAATATAACAGAAGAGTGACCACAGAAGATTATCAATAAAGAACATTGTCTCTCTTTGTAATGTTGTTTTTCTTTTTTTCTTTTTTTTTTTGCAAATGGTTTTGTTTTGTTTTATTACTTGTAAATCTATATATATATATATATATATTTCTTTTTTTTAAAAAGAAGCATGCAAACAAAAAACAAGAAATGTTACATCAAGTCAGTAACCCAATAAAATAATAATAATAATAATAATAATAAGTATTTACAGAGAAAATTCCTCAAAGAGATACGATAGGAGACAAAAAATATTTATAAACTCAGATCAACATTCTTACCGCATCCGTACCGTGAAAATAGCAATAAAGTAAAATCTCAATAACGAGCAAAGAAAAAGAAAAAAAAAAAAAAAAGAAAATAAACACTAAATAAGACTTGAAAAACAAAAAGAAAGAAGCACTAAAAACTCAGCAACTCATGTTCGACATTTTCGAAAAAAAAAATTCTCTTTTAAATAATAATAATAATAATAATAATAATAATAATAATAAAACTCTCTCTTCTTCTCCTCCTCATCCTCCTCCATATTATATCAAACCTCACATGTACTAGTACTAGTAGTAGTAATGTACTTTACAACTCATCCTTTGGAAAATAGAAAGTACGTATCACCTTAACACTTTCTCCAGTCATGGTTGCTGATAAATCTATCTGAATAGAAAGTAATCGAGCCTTCAATGCCAACCCTTCTTGAGAAACATTCCATTGAACCACATGAGCTATACATGAGGATGTTTTATTTACCATTGGTCGAAGTGCTAATGTATACATGGATCTATTATAATCCCTATACTTGCAGAGATTATCATATAATCCATCATCAGGTATAGTAAGGCGTGCTTTGGCATTCATACTATTTATATAATCATTAAATGCTTTAAAAATTTTAGTATCACTGAAACCACCTTCTGTACCAGTGGAGATTGGTAATCGATTACTTAAACCTTCCACAATAGGAATATGAAAAAGATGAAAGGTTCCAGTATCGGAAACACAAGCAGCTACTGTATCTGTAGATGAAACAAGTAACCCAAGAGTATGAACTAAATTTGGTGTTTTCCCTCGTGAAAATGCAGATAAAACTATACCATTTTCCACATCTAATAATTTAAGTGATGTTCCTCGCTCACTCACTGTGAGAGCTCGAGTTCCATCTGGAGTAATGGTAATACAATGAACTTCATTTCGATGAATCTCTATAATATTTTCACTTAAAGGACGCACATCCATATCGGTAAGACATGTAGGTGAAAGTTGTGAAAATAAAGTATCTAATTGTCGATCCGCAACATAACGAATACAACGTACAGATCCAATACTAGGTCCAGGAATAACTCCAAGTAAAAGAGAAAAACAAACTCCAGCGGCTGGTTTTTTCACAAGAATAGTACCTAATGCCATAGTTTTAACATTTCCAATAGATATCATAGCTTTTTTTGAAACTGTAAATGAATGAACTTTTTTAAGTGAATGATCAAAAAGGTGTACTTGGTTACTTTCACCTACCATAATTAAACGAGGATGAAATCGTAATGCAGTTACTGGAGAAAAAAGAGTTACACTTGCCAATATGGATTCCCTTCCTTCTTGCATTTCATCAATAGTAAGATCATATATACTAACAGTAGATCGATGAGAAGGTGTCCAACCTGCTATTAGAATGATATTACCTTGTCCATGTAATGCCATAACACCTACACCTCCTATAATAGGACGTTGAAGGACTTCATGCAACCATCCATCCTCCTCTAATAATAACTCCGTACTGTAAATAATAAAACCATGCGATAAGCCAACTGCAAGATTGGTTCCCTCATTATTCCATGAAAGACATGTCACTTGTTGACTTGATTGTCCTTCTACCATTTTTTCTTTTCTTTTCTTTTCTTTTTTGTTTGTTTACACTCCACCTTTCTCTCTCTCTCTCTCTCTCTCTCTCTTTTTCCCTTTTTTTCTATACTTAATGAGATTTATAACAACATCCCCACAAAAAACAACAACGAAAGAGAAAACAAAAAAGAAATAAATAGATAATAATAATAACAACAATGAAAAAAAAAAAGATGATTCTATACAATCTTATTCCTTTTTCTTCTCCATTATACTACCAAGTATCACATTTTTTTTTCTTTTTCTTTTTTTTAAAAAAAAATAATGAAATATGTATTCTTTTATTCTCCAACTCAGGGAATAAGTATATGACGCAAATTATCTTCACGTGTAGACATACGACGAACAAGTTTTCCACAACTGTTAACAGCTTGAGAATGCAGTGACATCCCTTTAGTAGAAGTAGTAGTAGAAGAAGAAGACTTTGGATTTACCTCTATAGAATTTGGATGACTCTTAATACTACTAACATCAATTCCCATCTTTTGTAGAGTCTTATATTCTCTCTGAGGTGCTAAAATAGAGAGTGGTGAACCTTTCGTCATAAGAGATAAATAATGACAAAGATATGCAGTTCGAATTCTTTCATCTTCACATACCTGTGTTAAGGAGAATAAATTTCTTACAGGTTCTGGTAAAGCCATACGTATCTTTGATAACTGCATAATAGCATCAAACTCATTCACAGGACTCCAAACTACAACTTTTATACGTGATTTACTGTTACTACTAGATTGCATTTCCATTAAGTAATGTAATGAATGTATAGTAGACATTCGAGCACTTCGCTCTTGAAGAGAAATTTGTACTTGATTCTGATTCTCTTGTTCTTCTTCTTGTTTATTACTTGAGGATTTATGAATCTGTGGATACGCCTCTCTTCTCAGTTGAAGTAATGCTGTAAAAGGCACTACTACCACTATCATAGGAATTCTTGCGAGAGAAGATTTCTCTTTTCCTCCAGCTTCCTTCACGGCATCCGTCCATGATGTGAGAGAACGACCCGCAAGGAGTGGTTCCCGTAGAAACGACGTAGTCACGAGTTCTCGAGTACTTCCCTCACACATGGGATGAAGCCAAGATCCGTTATTCTTATTATCATCATTGCTGTTGTTATTAGTAATAGTACTACTAGTAATAGTAGAAGTAGAAGTACTACTACTACTAATGGTAGAAGAAGAAGAAACATTTGAGGTTGTCTTATTTGCCCGCCACCATGAACTAGAGTAATTATTATTATTATTATTATTATTATTATTATTATTATTATCGATTTGAAGATCGACGTCTGTCCAGCTGCGAGAGACTACACTACTTAACAACGCCGCATCTACATCGCAGCGCCCCGCATGAAGGGCGGCAGTAATGCTACTCTTATAATTATTATTATCATTATTATTATTATTATTATTCCGCATTGCGGCCTGTGCGGATTTCAATGCGTGAATGTAAAGAGTAAACCACTCACCGTACGGAACTGCGGCAATACTGCGATGCGGGACGGCCGCCACCCGCTCAAGGAGGCGTGCGAAGAAGACATTCTCCCGCATGGGAGGAATCTTCTTTTTTTTTTTTTTTAATACTTCACCCGTTGTTAAAGAAGGAAAAAAAAAGATGAAAATAATACATACATATACATATACAGAGATAAAAAAAAAGAGATGTAAGAATAGTAAAAAAGAAAAGAAGAAAGAAAAACAGTTATTTTTTCCTTCCTCTCCTACCGGTATACGGCTAAAAAAAGAAAAGGGTATTAACACCGATTCGTCTACATGATAACACACATGAATATACATATATACATATATATTCATTTACAAAGAGGGGTGGGATGGGAAGTAAAGAGGAAGAAAGAAAAAAGAAAAAAAGAAAAACTGCATAGATACCGAGTCATGAGCCTCATTGCTGGAATTAACATTCAATAACTTTTTCCACATCTTTTTCCCACTCTCTTCAGATTCATAAATATATATATATATATATATATAAATATATGCATATCTTCCCCACCCTCATTTTCCTTCTCCTTTTCTCTCTTCTCCTTTTCCCTTTTTTTTTGGTCGTCAAACTTTAGGACTTGGTATTATTATTACCTTGTGCTTTTTTCTTTTTTCTTTCCTCCCTTTTTCTTTTCTTTCTTTTGTTGCCTTACTCGTGTGAGAGATAATTCTTAACAGTATTCCGTAATGTTTCTGTTGCCTCCTTCCTTGATTTTGCCTTGAAAATAGATGTACCCGCCACAATAACATTAGCGCCTGCCTTTGCTGCTGCCTCAATCGTCTTTTCACTCAAACCACCATCCACTTCAATATTTAAATGAGGATACATCTGCCGCAGTTCCATCACCTTTGGCATCATTTCCTGCATAAATGACTGTCCACCAAATCCAGGTTCCACTGTCATTACAAGCACAAGATCCACTAATTGTTCCTTTACGAGTTCCGCCACGGCACTTGCGGGAGTCTTTGGTTTCACCGCCACTCCACACTGCATTCCAGCCGTACGAATTTGACGGGCCACTTCTTTTGGATTTTCTGCGGCTTCAATATGAAATGTCATTTGAGAGGCACCAGCTTTTGCCATTTCTTGTATCCAACGATCAGGATTTGTAATCATGCAATGCACATCAAGAAAAGCATGTGGGAGATGTTTGCGTAGGGCTTCCACAACACACATTCCAATAGAGATATTAGGAACAAAGTGTCCATCCATTACATCCACGTGAAGCCATTCCGCAGCTCCACCGTTAATAGAAAGAACATCATTACATTCATCTAATAGTCTTGCAAAGTCTGAGGCGAGAATGGAAGGGGCTATAATGGGCAAAAGAGGATCTGCTCGCTCAGCACTTAACCATGAACTTCGATCTTGATGATCAAACAGTGTCGTCTTTACCATTTTTCTTTTTCTTTTTTTTCTTTTTTTTCTTCTTCTTCTTAATAATAATAATAATAATAATAATAATAATAATAATAAATAAATAAATAAATAAGAGAAAAGGTAAAAGAAATGAAAGTAAAAGTTTGTGTAAATGTATATGTATATGATTGTTTGTACATGTATATGTATATGTTAAATTGAATGAGGAAAAATAAAGAAAACTGGATCATCATAAAAGATTTATAGGCACCAATGGAGTGACGGGTGTTTATTATAAGAAAAAAAAAAAAAAACTACTTTACACGAAGAATTAACAGGATAACTGTGATAATGAGAGAAACACATCAAACAAAAAAAAGAAAACCTTTTTTTTATTATTTTTTTTAAAACTATTTCAACCCACGAGCATAATCCATGCCTCATCTACCATATGTTGAGATTTGTAAGTTTCCCACTCACTCTGAACTCTACTCGAGACCTTTTCAAGTGCACATTCCAGAGAAAGAGCGGGCACACAACTTTCACTGGCCGCAGATGATTGGGATGCATATCCACTTAACCACAAGGATAACTGAATCGCACGTGTTGGATGGGATAAATCCGCACGAAGGGCAAGAATAAGTTCTTGTAAACATCCATGCATTTGTGAGAGTACGGCTAACATGGCATATACGCCTATCATTATCTTTGGATCTTGATATCCTCCTTTTGCTGAAATCTCTGTATTTCTTTTTCCATCATTCATTTCTGAAAATCCAAAAGGTGATATAATGGATAAATCTTGTTCTTGTTGCTGTTTTTGTTGTTGTTGTTGAGATGATGATGATATTATCTTAACAGCTTCTTTTGCCTGCTGGAGTTTATTATACCATGCTTGTTGTGTACTTCCAAGTGAGCGAAGAAGGGCATTCACATCTTCTGCGTGTTGGGCAAGAATTAATTCCATGGTGGAATCTGGAAAAGCACGAAGAATCCCTAATGGATCTGTACAACATCGGGGAATAGAAACAACAACAGCATCAGCAGAAGATGAAGAAGATGAAGATGATGGGATTTCAAATGTAGAGGATCCACCAACTCTTCGAAAGGATTCTTCAACAACAACAGACTGTGAAGTGATATTATTAATAGCCTCAAGATTGGATATGAAAGAATCCAAAAGGTTTTGACACTCACGAAAACGCTGCACCACTACTGAAGCCATTGGTCCTTTTATATAAATAAATAAATATATTTATATATATATATATTGTGTTTTGCCCATCATCACAGCAATAGACGAAGAGAGAGAAAAAAAAGGAAGAAGAAGAAAACAAAAACAACATAAGCGAAGAAAAAAAAAACTCACAAGAAAAAAAACACATACACAACTATTAACAACATCAAAGAATCCATATTAAAAAGGAGAAGATACGAATAAATTACAATGATGATAGATAGTCTGAAAACAAACTTGGAGTTCATTGTCATTAAGGTAATTAATAACAGCAAATATGGGACGGAAAACAAAAAAAAAGAAAAACAAGTAAATAAAAATAAAATCAGGTTACATAAAAAAAAACAGGTATGCTTGTTATGGCTTGGAACCCTTCTATATATTTTTGATTTACTTAGTTTCAACATATTCCGAATATATATATATATATATATATATATATATATAATATATTCTTTTTTTCCATCCTTTCCCACGTCAACTATGTTTGTACATCATTGTGAGTACCACCTATCTCAGTTTCATATTTATCAACAAAGGAATTAGAGTGAGAGTAAAAACAAAAAAAAAAAACGTCCACATCTCCACATCTATATAAATAAATAAATAAATAAATATATATATATAAATATATAGATGTAGTTCTCCGTTAATTCCTTTTCCTAAACTCATTTGTATTCTTCTTCTTCTCTTATTCCTTTTGAAACCAGGTGTCTACAACCACTCCATACAGATATAATTATGCTGCTCATTTCATTTGCACATACACCTCCATCTACTCCATTAAACTTCTTTTTTTTTTTCTTTCATACTTTTTTCTTTCTTTTTCTTCTTTTTCTTTTAAAATTTCTTTTCTTTTCTTTTTTTTTTTACACGAAGGAGAATGGCTGTTCCTCCTGTGTTGGCTTTCGCAGCACTGCATGGGCTACAACAATACCAAGGGACGATAGCACCAACCAAAATACCACTGAACTACCATTCGAAAGGAAAAAAGAAACTCCACCGAAAAGAATAATAAAAATATAGGCCTGTGAAAAAGTAATTTCTCGATTGGCCAATGTAAAATGATTACTATTCGTTGCCGCCGCCTCTGCACGCTTAGTGCTTACATACCACCACATCATTAACGTCATAAACAAACAGAGACTGAACGCTGGATTAAGAAGAAGCACATAGGAAGAACCAACAAGTGCCATAATAATATAATTGTGATAGTAATAATTAATATTACGATTAAGTCGACTCAGAGAATCACTTAAACCGGCTGGAGAGGCAAAGGCTTGTCTGTCAAAGAATTCCTTCCATGGACGTACAAGAGCCAATTGACGCCGTGTTCCTTCCACAGTAGATGTATAATAATATTGCACTTTTCCCACAAATGTAGAGGGAGCAGCTGCTACTGAAAAAGGTTCCTCCGTTCCTTTAAGAGAAGCAGTGGTCGCAGAAGTTTCTTCGGCGCCGTCTACAAACGCCATTTCAGTTTTCATCGGACTGCCTCCCTGCATTCTTTACAAGTAAGAACGTTTTCTCACTTTCCTACAACCAAAGAAGAATTAAAAAAAAAAAAAAGAGAAAAACGTAATCCTAAGAAGCATATATATATATATATATATATATATAAAGAAGAAGAATGAAAAAAAAAGAGTATGAGAAGTATATAATGCAAAAAATAAATAGATAGGTATATACAGAAATAAAGAGAGCAGAAATCATAACAGAGAAAAAAGGATAAAAAAAACAGAAAGAGAGAGAGAGTATATATATATATGTGTGTATGTGTGAGATGATGATGATATGTGCGTTCGTGAGTGCTGTAGATGCACAAAAGACGAAGAGAAAAAAAAGAAAAGAATGCAAGTGAGAATACCAGGCTAATGAGAGTAAAATAAGAAAGAAGAGTGAAGGATAAAAAGTGATCAAAGAAAGAAGAAGAAGAAGAAAGGGAATGTGTTCGGTAGAATACCCATATACACATAGTTCTTTTTCTCATCGTTTAGTTTTCTTTTTTTCTTTCTTTAATTCGTTTCTACACTCCGTTATTATTATTATTATTCTCTCCATGCCTCGCACTCTGTGAATACAATAAAATAAAAATAAAAAAAAAAGCACGAAAAAGTACAAATACACCATCCAAAGAAATTCTCTATAATAAGGACCGGAAGGACGCTTATTCTTCTTGATCCTACTAAAGCGGTTTTTTCTATGTTTTTCTTTTCCTTTTCCTTCTTTTTCTTCTTCTTTTTCTTTTCTTTTCCAAAAAACGAAAGAAGAAAAAAAAAAGAAATACACAGAGAACGCCAAACAAATTCAAAAAAAAAAAAAAAACGACTCTTTCTCTCTCTATTTCAACACAACTATCGTCCTTTAAAGAACTTTATACGCATAATGAGGGAACGCCGCATAATATCAAGAAGCTCCTGCGCCTTAGAAGCGGGTGTACCATTTACACTTTGAATACGCCAATCCGTCTTCACTGGAGGCTTTTGAAATGTTTTGTAAAAAGGATGTCTACGGCGAATATCATGTTTAGATGCTAATAAGGGAAGTCCAGTCATGCGCACGGAACGGTCTAAACCTCCACCAATACTCTCAAGTGTGAGTCCCCACTTTTTATCCGTAGATTCACGGCGAATGATCATCTCATTTGGTGTTAACAACTCAATGGTCGTATCATTAGGCATAACAAGGGGTTCTGGAGTACTATTACTATCAGTAACCTCCGCTACTGGATGATCTCTTTCTTCTTCTTCTTCCTCTTTTAATTGTTGTTGTTGTTGTGGTTTCTTTTTCTCTTGCTCTTGAATCAGCTGCTTTTCCTGTTGTTGTTTCTCCTGTTGTTGTTTTTTCTTTTGCTCCTGCAATAGTTGTTGTTCTCGTTGTTTTTCCTGTTCTTCTTTTAGCTGCTGTTCTTCTCTTTCCTTTTGCTCCTGCAATAGTTGTTGTTCTCGTTGTTTTTCCTGTTCTTCTTTTAGCTGGTGTTCTTCTCTTTCCTTTTGCTCCTGCAACAATTGCTGTTCTCGTTGTTTCTCCTTTTCCTGTTCTTCTTTTAGTTGTTGTTGTAGTTCTATTTGTTTTTGTTCCTGTTCCTCTGCGGTGTCCTCATCAGCGACGGCTGGATATGTCTCCTTCACATCTTCCTCCTCCGCCGTTTTCGGTGGTTCCACACTCAACTCCTCCGCCTCATTCGCCTCTGCGGTGTAGGCCACATCCATCGCCGCATCCACATCCTCTGCGTGAACTTCAGTCTTCTTTCGAGGAGACTTTCGAGTCTTTTTCTTTTGGTTTGGACTGCGAGTGAGAGTTGTTTCACCCACGAGTGGGGTTTCCGTTATTATCTCTCTAGTGGGATACTTTTGTTGTTGTTGTTGAATGAGAACTGTTTCTTTTCCATGTGTGGGTCTACGACGTAGTCCTATCATCGCAGGTGTAAGTACTACAAGATTTAATACAATCGTCTCGGAATGAATACATAAGGCATCTGCTTGAATAGGTGTAGTGACTTCAACTCCATTCACTGCCAACAGTACTACTGTACCTTGATATTCTGAAAAGAAAGTTTTGGCATTTATAGACATATTGTGTGCTGGAATATGTTGAACTACAAGATCTTCAGAGAAGTTAAAACCCCATGGCATATTTCGGTCAGGACGATGGAGTACAAGTATCGCACGTTGACCAGAAGATCCTTCTCCTCCTTGATTTGGTAAAAAAAAAGCCAATTGTTGAATATGTAATTGTTTAAACGTATTTGATTCTAATTTCATAGTAATACGTTTATACTCACTTGTAGTATTTTTTATAATTTCTAAAACTTCTTCAGCCCCATCAGGTAATATATTTGGTACTGTAGTAGAGTTAATTGCAATCACTGAAGCCCCTTCAGTGGTACATCGCAGTAAACGATGTAATTCCTCTCCCTCAGCAGAAGCACTACGAAGTGAAATATCTACATCTACTAACCTTCCACATTCATTAAAAATTAATCCCCATGGCGATGTCAAATCAGTTCGACGAATGACCACTGTAGATGATTCGCGATCAATGGATTGAACCTTAGTACTACTATTTTCATCCTTACTAGTATTTGGTGATTGTAGTGTAGTATTTTCAACAAGTTCTACCCATTGAGCAAGTTGGTAGTATTGCTTTGATAAAACAGGCATTAATTGTTCAGCCGCTTCTGGAGCTGAATCCATAAGTTGTACACATGGAAAAGTAACAAGTAAATTATCATAAGATGTTTCAAAATCATTCGCAAGTATTATAGTCGTATTTAATGCTACCACTTGCTCTTCACTACGTATACCACCTGAATGAGAATTCTCTAATTCTACCTTAAGACGCATACGTAGTTGTTGAAGAAACATCTCCACACGAAGTTTAACACTAATCCACGCAATCACATGAAGACCTTCCACCACACCTGCCTGTGGAGCTGTTCGGTGCGCAATATACTCCGCGAGTACAGCCGCAATTTCCCTCTGATCCAATTGACCTAATACCACTTCCTTATGAAAGGAGACGAGCCCAAAACGAATAATATCCGCCAACTCCAATAATGCTTCCCGAGGAGTCATTAACACTTCCGCTTCTTTCTGACAAAGTTCATTTAAACGCGCCATGACTGTGGCGATACGGCGGGCCACCAGAAATGCGTGGGGTTCTTTATGTGAAGGTGGCTGGTGAACGGGACTGTGTGGGGCGTAGAGGAGTTCCGCCGCCGCCCCCCACTGCTGAAGTCTCTGCTCGGTGCTCAGACCATCTTCCATCCTGACCCTCACGGCTTCCTTGCGGGATGATTGACCTTTAGGCATTATCTTTTTTCTTTTCTTCTTTTTTTTTTGAGGGGTGGGTGTTCAAGCCAAGTTTATATAATAAACTACACTTTACATAGTCAAATAGATGTATATATAAAGAAAGGAGAAAGAGAAAGAAAAGAAAGAGAAAATGTATTAACATTATTAGCAATAAGGTGGAGAAAAAGAAATAAACAGTCTTTTTTTTCATTCTTTTTTTTTTTTTTCTTTCTTTTTAAAAAATACTTCTTCTCATTATTTATTGGGATATCCCTCTTTTTTTTTTAATTATTTTATATTAATTATAAACTCCATGTGCTCTTCTCCTTCTCCTCCTCTTCTTCTTTTTCCATACACAGTAGAGATACCCCATTGCTTAATCACATGGGAAAAAATGGAGGAGTATACACACACACCGGCACAATACCCAATATCAAAGGACAACAGCAAGATATATATATATATATATATATAGAGAGAGAGAGAGAGAGAAGATACAACTCTGTATGAACGCAAAATATCATTTAAAAAAAAGAAAAAGAAAAAAAGACGCACAACTTGTAGAAACAAATACTTGAAATAATAATTCAGGATGAAAAAGAGAACGTGAGGGGACTTACTAATTTACCGATAACTCGTGACATGATGAACCATTTGCAGGTGATTTGTTTATTTTTATTTTTTATTTCCATTTTCTATCTTCGCTAATTCTTCACCTCTATCTCTCTATTTACGTCATAAACCAAACAAACAAACAAACAAAAAACGAACAGTTATATTTACATTTATACAATGACCCATTCTAGGGTCTAAACTTCTTTTATAGGGGTCCTCCAGATTATTATTATTCTTTTCTTTTGTTTTTCTGTTTCTTTTCGTTGTTATTACTCACACTCTCACACACTCCCCACCTACTTTTGACGGTATTTCTTATCCATTCCCATAGGAGCTCCTTTACATTCAAGATAGACCAGAATCAACAATATTAGAGATATAATATATTGTACCATCTTGGGTCGTAGTTTTTCCAACTCTTCATCATCAAAATATGTTGGTCTACGCCAAACCGCATGTGGAAGAATAACCAAACCATTTATAAGTAACACTATACCTACCGTACGTAAGCCATCCCAGAAAAGGAAAAGTCCTAATAGGATAATGATATAAAGATCTACTATCCTTTTATAGGATACACATATACCAGAAATACTTATATGCGCAGCAAACCTAGAACGTTTTTTTTCTCGTAAATGAATAGTATGAAGAAGAATCGCTGAAAGAAAAACAAGTAAAAAAAACAATGGATCATATACCACAAGAAATGGTAATGTTAATGTGTAAAATACTACTATGTAATTAGCACCATAATACGGCAAGTTTAGATTTAGTCGTTCAAGTGCTTCCCCTTTGCTCTTTGGCAGAACAAACTGTTTCTGATCAAGAAAATCTTCCATCCAGGGGAGTTGTTCCTTTCTTAGTTCTCCACGAATTTCCATCATCTTTTCTATTAAATCATAACTACTTGAAATAATTCCACTATCATTTCGCTCCACTTTTTTATCCAAATTCCGTATCTTTTCACCTTGTTGATCAGTCATCAAAGAAGAACTGAAGAGAGATGAGGCGGAGGCCCCTGGTGCCCTATCCATCGTACTAGTGATATCAGTTGAGGGATCATCTGAAGTTGTATACGTGTTGCTGCTAGTGCTCATTTCCAAGGCTGTAGAAAAAGTGTAGACTTCTCTCTCTTTTTAATTTAATTTTCTTTTTTACCCTCTCTCAATCTCAGAATATCAAAATAAGAAAAAAAAAGAAAAGAAAAAAGAAAAGAAAAGAAAAAAGAAAAAAGAAAAGAAAAAAGAAAAAGAAAAGATGGCTTAACGGAAATATGTACGGAGAAGTAAGAAGAAGAAGAACAACAACAACAACAACAACAAAGTAGTAGATATGTGATCTGTAGACATCAAGAGAAAAAATAAATTATAAGTAGAAGAATAAATAAAAAATAAAAAAAAAGAGTAAAACCATGAAAATCAGAAGATAATAAAAATAATAATAATAATAGGGGTACAAAAATAAAAAAAAAGCAAAACCAATCATAACCTTATATAAAAAAAAAACCAGTGAAAAAAAATAAATAAATAAATAAAATAAAAAGTGGACTGAAAACAGATTACTTTATATATATATATATATATATTATATTGTTTTATTTTTATTTTATTTTTCATTCTTTAGATTATTAACCATTTCGCGCCAAACGCCAATCTTCTTGTCTTTCATCTTCAATGGGATCCACGGGTTCTTTACTCAATTCCCGGGAATCACTTTTTACTTTTCTCTTCTTCTTGTGGCTTCCGAAACCCCTTTCCTTATTCTTATTATTCTTAACCTTATTATTATTATTATTATTATTATTATTATTATTATTATTATTATTATTATTATTATTATCATCACTGTTTACTGAAACATGAATACTTCGATGAATAGAGGGGAACTGCGGGAAGAATCGATGAGCTATATACTGCAAGTATACAGTCTTTACATCACACATGGGTCCAGGCTGTAGTAAAAGTTTTTTAACTTTTGTGAAGAGACGGTGTGGACGGGGGTTTGCATGTTTTCGTATACGACTAATCCACCATGCACATTTTTCCGCAAAGCCAGTCGTTTTTTTTACATGTTGTGGTTTATCCTTATAAAGAAATGTAGATGATAATAATAAGGAATCCTCCTCCTCCTCTTCATTATTATTATTATTATTATTATTATTATTATCCGATTTACTGTTATTATTTATAGTAATAGTGGAATTAGTAGTAGTACTGTGTGTACTTCCTCGTCGATGACGGGCCATGGCCTCATCATACATCTGTGCACCGTACTCTAAACAATGACAAAGAAGAATAATAATTTCCATTAACTTTGGCAAAAGTCTAATTATTTTATTTTGCCGTCGACTGAGTTCCCGTGTGGAGGTGCGTTGAAGAAATGAAATGATTGGTTGTGTGATTGGCTCTAATCGATTTGAAAATGGATGAAGTGTTAATACCGATTGCAGAAGGGTGTTTAATTGTCGTCGTGAAGAGGTGGAAAGTCCCATCTTATCATTCTCGGTACAAGTATAGGAATACACCGTGAAAGAGGTATATGAATGAGAAAAGGAAAAAGAAGAAGGTATAATCATAGGAGTATCAGTTAAAGATAGAGGAAGAACAATACCTGTAGGCTGTGCAATGAGATGACACTGCAGCCAAACATATTCTACAAGTCGGTATTGTGGAATGAGAGGAACTCCAAGTTCCACTTGTAATGAATCCAGAATGGGATGAACACTGCGACTGTGATCCTGTCTCCATACATCTGCCTTATTATTTAGATGCATAGATGATTCCTTCTTCTTCTCTCCTTTAGAATTCTTGTGATGAGTCTTCATAGTATTATTATTATTATTATTATTATTAGTGTTAGTATTGTTAATAGTCCATGAGGCTGTTACAAGTGTGTAAGCGAAGGACACCCGCTTTTTACGTCGATCAGTCATCATTATTATTATTGAAAGAAGAAATAGAGGTTGGTAGACTTCTTAAGAAGATTCCCTTTTCTTTTTTCTTTTTTTTTTTCCACCAATGCCGTCAACCATCAAAGAGAGAGAGAAAGAAAGAAAGAAAAAAAAGCAATAAAAAATAAAATAATAATAAAAAAACAAATAAACATTTATAAATGAAAGTAAAGAAAGAGTGAAAGAAAGATATAATGTAATGAAAGAAGGAAAAAAAACAATACGATAGGTATACATACATATATATATATATATATATATACCGATTCTAATTAATCTTTTGATGTTCTTATTTATTTATTTATTTTTACCAGATGATGTACGAAGAGAGTGTAGTACAGTCAATGGAATCCAACTCTCCGCATTTTGTCTTGTCATCACTTCCCATATCTGGAGAGAAACTTGTGAGTTTTCCCAGACATTTCGCTCTTGTTGAAATAAATAAACCGCGATCTCCCAATTCCCAGCCACACGCATAGCTCGTAATGCGTAGAGAACTGCAAGCGGTGGATTATTTACTTTGGCGTCTTGCATAATAGCAAGTGCCTCCGCCCAGCACTGACTATTTCTAGCCACACAGACAGCAACATAACTACTCAACTTTAAATGATTCCGTAGTCTCTCCAAATTATTATTATTATTACTATTATTATTATTATTATTATTATTATTATTATTATTATTTTTCTTGTTTGTAGGGTTAGGGAGTGAATTCCACCATTCAAGACAACATTTCCATTCACCCAATCGCTGCAAAGTGAGTACTAATGGAATCGCCGCATCTACTGTGATCTGTTCACGTAGTGTTAGTGTTTGTAAAAGTACCTTGCAGAGATCTAATGAACGCATTGTGTTTGCCGCCTCTGCAATTCTCTTTACTGTAGTAATGGTTGGGGAAATAGCATGGGAAGGCATAAACTCTGTGAGTACACGAAGAGCCTCACGTCGACGACCTTGACGACTAAGAATCTCCATTACAATATGAATAGAAATTGCATTTGGATTCGGCATTGTAGTAAGGATCTGAAGAGCCTGTAGCCATGAGTAACGTTCTTTAGGTTTATATTGTATATGGAGTAATTCCTCATTATTTGTAATGGAAATCATTCCTTCTACTTGTTCTTCTTGTTTATTATTATTATTATTCTCTTTATTATCATTCTTTTCATCACATCGTATATGATGAACAGCTGTTAACCATAACTCCCGCTGAGCCTCTGGTAAATGTGAAAGAACATTAGACTCAAATGTATTTGCAAAGAGATTTCGTTCCGTCTGTACATTTAATTCTCTGCAGTTATTCCGCAGAAGAGACTTGTGAACTTCTTGTAAATGTTGACAGGCTTGTATCCAACACCCCGCGTCTGCGGCCGCCATCATTGCCACTCGACTCGCAGAGAGATATCGCCAATCCATCTTCTTTTCTTCCCCACTATTATTATTATTATTATTATTATTATTATTATTATTATTATTCATATTACTAGTATTACTAGTATTAAAAGTATTTACAATACGTGTTGCCTCTTGCCATTGACCGGCTTGTGCTAATATACGTGTGAGAAGTAATGTATGCGCACTCGTCACGATAAGACTCTCTCTTCTCGCTATTGTTGTTGATATTATATTTGTTGTGGAAGCGGCGGTGTGAAAAGCAGCGAGAGCGGCCTCCCACGCCCCACGGGCAGCACTGACTTCAAGAAATAATGTTAATGCATCTCGCATCAATATTCACATCTAATAAAGGGAAAAAGAAAAAAAGAAAAGAACATATGATTATATATATATATATATATATATATATATATAAAGAGAAGATACCTTTTCTCTGTATACACACTACAGTAAATAATAATAATAATAATAATAATAATAATAATAATAATAATAATAATAAAAGAGAATTGGATTTTAAACACAGCAACGATAAGTTATTGTGATCCAATTTATTGGAAAAGCATAAAAAAAAAATGAAAAACAGAAAAAAACAATAATAATAATAAAAAAAAAAACAAAGAGACGATACACTTTTCATTCTCTCTTACTATATATATATATATATATATATATATATATATATATATATTTCTCACTTTTTTCTTTTACTTTTTATTAATATTCTCCCCGTGAACTGACATGTAAACAGGGACGTTCAATAAGCATATGAAATACAAACGCCACCAATAGCGTCGCTACTGTATATCCAAACCATTGTACCATTAATAAGAGAAAACTCATTGTCATTACTTCATAGGAACTCGCATTTCCCAATCCAATCACTAATGGGGCCACTAAATAAGCCACTAAAATAAGTCTTGAAGGTCCACACCATAAACGATGAATTAAAATACGACGAAACATACCACCATATCCAAATAAAAGCGGTAAAGCCAAGAGACAAAGACCAATACACCAGGGGAAAAGAATAAGAGATTCATATACTTTCACACCTGGATGAATAAATTCTCCACTGTATTCATCACGGTGAACTACCCATGCACTTAATATACATGTAAGGGTTATACAAAGTCCACTCCATAAAAAGAGAATACGTATACGTCTTTTACGTAATTGTTCTAATAACCAATAACTTAATCTATCTTCAACTAAAGCACCATCTTGAATACGATGAATAACTGAAAGAAGATCAGATCCAAACATACGTAACATTTCTGCACGTCTTTGAACTCCTTTATATAAATAGTAAAGCATAGCTCCAGCACAAAATGGAATAAACATAAGATGTGGATATTGATAAACTGTCCCAATAGGAAGTGAATAATGTGAAATAGAACTAAAAGTGAAAGAAACTGTTTTTTGACGTGTTAATTCCACATATCGCAATACAGAACTTGTCATCATGGCAAATAATAATAATGCTGAAAAGAGGCGATGATGTAAGTGTTTACCAAGAATATAAATAATAGGAGCTAATGCTGAAAGTTGAAACTCTAATGCTACATAGTAAGACCATGGAAAACAACGTTCATTCCAATCAAGAGGAAGTATATTATTAATAAGAAGAAAATTCGTCCACCAATACTTTACACAATTCACATGCATCGCTGGTGCATCTATGAAAAGTTTCCAAAATGGACCGGATCCAACATTTGGTATTAAATTTGGTAAAAGAGCTAAAATACAAAATGTAATAGGAACCACACGTACAAAACGAGCTATTAGATATTTAATATACCAAAGAAATCCATATTGAATTATTTGACGATATCGACGTTGACGCTTCTGTACTCGTGCAGTCGGAGAAGATAAGAAAGCCTCCTCAGAAGTATGAAGACGATGAAGGGCGAGAAAACCAGCAATAACAAGAAAAGTACTAACAGCAAAACCAGCAAAAGCTTCCTTTTCAAAAAAGGCATAAAGAAAGTTAGAATGTCGTGATCCTACATTTTCTATAGTAGGAATTTGTTGGGAATACCAAAAAATACTAAATAACATTATCCACATCCATGCAAGAACACGCCAACTATTAAATAAATTAAGATTGGCTTCAGATTTTGGATAATATCGCCACTTTCGAAAACTATTTATTAATGAAAGACAAAGTACTATTTGATTTACAATAGAATGAAAATCAGGTACATCTGGTATTTCTACTAGTAACTGCTGCATACGTCTTTTAGACCAAAATACATCAATATTAAAATCTGGAAGAATTCCTGTAGTTCTTTCAACTCCACTATCTAATGTATTTTTTCTTGTTGTTGTTCGTCCTGTGGAAATATTCACTCGTGTTTCCTTTTGACTGAAAGAAGATTCACAATATGATTTAGAATTCGGACCCATCACTACTATAGTCTCTTTTCCCACTGTCTCTAAAGGAGATGTTGTATTTAACTGATAATTAACGTCATTAGTAGTATCATTATTATTATTATTATTGTTAATATCTGTAATACTATCTCCTCTTGTAGAAAGAAGAGGTTGAGATATACTTGGAAAGAAACTAGGTGGAAAAGAAAGTTCCCTCTTTCGTTGTTGTTGATGTTGTTTTTTTTCTTCCTCTTCTCCTTCTCGTTGCTGTCGATAATGATTAAAGGATTCATAATCATAAGAAGATATTAATGTTCGACTATTTTCACTTCTGAATACTGTATTTGTTAGACTAGGGGATGGCAAAACTCGCACAACACCCCCATCATTTCCCATTTTCACTATTTCAAATGGTATAATTCGGGTTGTCACTCTTCGATAGTAATCATATAAAGTGGCTAAGAGGACGATTAATATAATAAAACCTAATATCGTCCAGGAAACAATATTCTGTGAATGAACCTGAAATGTTAAAGATGAATGAGAAGCACATTTTATATATTGCGCTAATGCGTCTTTCATTTTGATAGGTGAAGATGTTAATAAATCCCCATAACTAAAAGTGGTATTTAACAGTGGATCTGCCAACACATGCTGGGCAATATCCATTAGTGTACATTGTGTGGGTAAACAATATCCAAGTAGACGGGAATTCCCCCACACAGAGTATCTTGGAAAGAGTATACAAAACTGCACCGTGTTGTTAACAGGGCAATGGGAATAACTCCCAAGTATACCAGGAAGACCACCAGAGGCCCGCTGCATTACTTCTGTTTGATTACAAAAGCCTGAAGTGATTGTAGTTGTTACTGCTGACATCTAGTTTTGTATTTTTTCTTTTTTTTTTTTTTTCTTCTAGGAATATATATATATGAATGGATGTGGATGTGAGGGGAGGGTTGAGTGTTTCTTCTCACCCTCCCTTTTTCTTTATTTTATTCGTGCGCGTTGGCAGCGAATCTTTTTTTTCGCCTGTAATAGAAAGAAAATAGAAAAAAAAAAGAAAAAGGGATGGAAATTTCAGCCAAATCAGCACATTCTATTAAGAAGAGAGAGAGAGAGAGAGAAACAGAATAAAATAAACAGATAGAGTTAGGAAAGATACAGAAAGAAGAAAAGGGTCTCATACCCTTTCATATTTTATGGACCGAAAGCAATCTTTAATTAGATGCGATCAAAAATAGTAAAACATAAAAAAAAGAAAAAAGAACAAGCAAACAACAAACAACAAAAAAAAAAACAAAAAAAAAAAAGAAAAGAAACCCTGCTACTTTTTACTATTGCTGTTATACCTGCCTTCGCTGTTCTTTTTTTTTTTTTTTTTAATATCTTTTTGATCTATGGATGAAATCAACAATAACTATAAAGGAATGAATGTCATTTCAATAAGAAATAATTTCCCCTTCAAAGACACACCATAAATATGACAACGATATATACACAAAACATAATACGCAAACCCGACTCACTAACTTCATTGTAGTTAAACAAAACAAAATACAGCTTCTTTAAGCTATTCCTCACCTCTGTTTATTTCTATACTTTGCCCAGCATGGTATTATTATTATTATTTTTTTCCTGTTAGACAGCACTGTTGTTTATAATCCCCATTGTTTATCCCAATTTCTTGAGATATCCTTTTCAAGAATTATTCTTCTTTTACTTCTATTCCATTCTATGGTTATTTTATTTTTTTTTTTCTCTCACTCTCTCTCTCTCTCTCTCTATAAATATATGTATTTCTCTCTTCTTCTTTCTTTTGCTTTTTTTAAAATGTGTGTGTTAAGTTTACCCATGAGAGTTTCTTTCTTTTTTTTTTGTTTTGTCTATTCCTGAGTTATGTTTACCACATCTCCATCTTGCAGTTGATAGTACATGAGTTGATGACGATCTACCAGACAAGTGCCGTGAACCCGCAGTACACATCTAGAAAGTGGTATCATCGTTTTTTGTTGAACAAGGGCACGAAGTTTTAATACCTTTTCAGTAGATGACATTCGAATTTCCCATCGTAATCCTTTATCTTTGTAGACCATCACAAGTCGTACAGCCTCATCTCGTGCGATAATGGTTACCTCTGGTGTAGTTTCATCGCTTTTACTGAGTCCTATATCAGTGGAACCCAATACACATTTGGGATCCAGTAATACACCATTGGCACGCCATTCCTGACATGCCGCACGAATACCTGTACTATTTTGTACCATTACCATAACTTCTGCAATAGTGTCATTCACATGCGCTGTTACACTGAATGCCTTATTGCTATGCTGAACCCGAACAACAAATCGGCGCCAGACACTATCTTCATGAACTGCCGTTGCTACTGCTCCTCCTATGCCTGTTCCTGCAGCTGCAGCTACGGATGTTGGTTGAGATACTGCAGCAGTAGTAGTACTATTATTATTATTATTAGCAGCAGCAGCAGTTGATAAAGATGATCGGGCCACATCAGTTGTACCCTCTGCTCTAAGAGTTGATGATGGACTAAGATGAGATGCCTCCAAGGAGGATGTCTCTCCACCAGCAGTACCCACCGTCCAATCTTCACCTGTTGTGATGGGAACACCAAAAGCATACCACATGGCATAATTGTTAATAAAATAACGAAGAAAATCATCAAATATAACATATGTGGTATCTCCAAATATATCTGTTACACGACGTTGTATTTCAGATTCAGGCATATCTACAGTTTTTCCAATGAGAGCATTTTCCAGCATAAATACAATATCATCTCTTGCGATAGCCTGTTCCATATCCCGTCGGAGAGCAAAGAAGCAAAAACGTGCGGATTCCTGTGGTGTCATTCCTTTTGCATGAAAGGCGCAGCTAACGAGGAGTTGCTTCAGTTCATTCTGTGAAACGGTAGGGGATGCCTGATTAAAGAAAACGGCCACAACACGAGCGACGCCTGGATCTAACGCGGCCCGTCCCATTAAAACATCCAATAAATGCCGTACATGTTCCACTGCTGGACTTGCTCCGACAACGCAGTCATGCCGCCATCGCCGCTGCACGGCCCGGGCAATGTGCGCCTCCGACTCCCACATGATGGGCCTGTAGGCGCCCGGCGGTGTGTTGGGCGGCGGTCTGCCCCAGTCGGGGGCGACGTGGGCGCAGGCGGCCTGATGCGGCGGGTCGTTCACGCGGCTGCAGCGGCCGTCGGGGCACGGCGGGGGGTGGGCGGCCGGCGGCTGGCGGACCAGGCGGACCGTCGCCATCAACATCCCGAGGCCGGAGACCCCCGCCGCCCAACTCACGTCCCGCTCCATCGCAAAGGAGGCAAGCGGCGGCAGCGGCAGCGGCACCGCCACATCCCGCGAGTCCGCGTGATTCAGAAGATTGTGTAGGGTGCAGTGGAAGATGGCCCGCTCCAGTTGGGTGGCATCTTGAATGGTCAGAAAGAGCGGATTGGCCCCATCAAAGACAAAACGATCTAAACCACCAAACTCTACGGATGTCGTGTATTGTGTTCCTCGCTGATAGGTTCGCCCAGGTACAAGCCACGTCGCCCGCAGGACAAGACCAACAGGGAAGGTTGGAGGATTTACAGAAGATGGCATTGCCGTCATTAGAGCTCCACCATACGGTACAAGAGAGACATTCCATGAAATCGTTACAAAACCAAAGTCATCCACACCATGTTGAGAAAGTGTGGCCACATCTGATTTAAAAAAAGGATCATGTTTATCATGAATATTACGTGGTTGTAACATGATACGTACAGGTTCAGTAGAATTACTTTGGGTATGTAAGGAAAATGGACATGTGGCTTGTCCGTAAAAATTACCTTGTGCATCTTCCAATGTAATAAGAACACGAGACTCTACAACACGTCCATCTTCCTCATTTTCCTCATTTCCAGTTCCAACCATAGATATAGTTGCCCCTGATTTACGAGTCATCATAGTACGTGAATTATTTCCAGGAGAAAGCTGAAATACATTATGAGGAAGTACAAAACGCATCGTTTCATTAAATGTTGGTTTCGATGTAAAATATAGGCGACGTGTGGATGCAATCTGACGTTCATTTGCAACGATATTTGTTGTTGTTATATCCTTCTTACTTGGGCCAACACTATTCGCACTACGCGTAGTCGTTACTTTTCGTAGGGTTAATACAGTCACATGTGCCACTGGGTCACATTGAAGTAATCGGGCGGTTGGGAGAAATGCACTGTGAATAGTGAGCTCCACATTACTGTCAAAGTTGACTTTCAGAGGGCCACTTACAACATCAGGAGTAGCCGTAGCCATCACAGAAATAAGAAATCAGAAGCTTAAATCAATAAATAAATAAATAAATAAATAAACAACAACAACAAAAAAAAAGAAGAGAAAACGAAAAAAAAGGATGACGTAGCAATAAAAGGAAAAAAAAAGAATAATAACAATACCAATAACAAGAATAGAAATACCAAAAACAAAAAAGAGAAAAAAAAACTTCTGAGAAACCATATAAGAACTCTGAAAATCAATTTTTTTTTCTTTTTTGCTATGCATCATATTTATTTTTTTAAATATGTTGCTGACGCTCATGAGATAGGCCAAACACCCAAGTACAGACGTGCCTTCTCCATGACTTTTGCCTTTTTTTTTATATTTATTCTGATACACTTGATGCTACTAGTATATGTATATAGATATATAGTTTTTTTTTGTTTTGTTTTGTTTTGAATCCGCGTGCATTCCGTTGGACACTTTTCCAGTTGTCCTCCAACATGGAGAGGAGGTATCGACCTTTTTTGCATTTAAAAGAGAAACAAAAAGGTACTTTTGAAAAAAAAAAAAAAAAGAAAAAGCCACCACTAAAAAAAAAAAAAAATNAAAAAAAAAAAAAAATGAAAAACAAAAGCAACAACACTAGACAAATATATTTATTGCTTGTTTTTTCTTTTCTTTTCTTTTTTTTTTCCTTTTTTTCCACACACCCCCAGTAACACAATTCCTCTTTCTCTTTATTTTAGGAGTATGTGTTAAACATAGATTTCCGCGACAATACGTACATACACCATTTTTTTTTTTTTTCTGTTCTCTTTTCCTCCTCATTCTCTCTTTGCTTCATCCGTGTGTTCTTCTCGTTTACAACGGTTTCTTGTACACACCATTAACACTATCATCATTATCATTTATCGACCCTAAATAATAACAGTTCCCACCACTACCACTATTAAGAATCCAAACTCTTTACGCTGCACCAATAAGAGTGAATGCAGCCCACACAACGGGGTCGTAGCCGATACGCCGCGCTTCTGTTTGTGCCGCACGGAGTGCCAATGCATATGGATAACGCATACGCCATCGCAGTGTGAGTTCGAGTTGATCAAGGAACATGCGAATAAACCGTTCATGTGCAAAGGTGATACTATTACCCGGCGGAAGGTCAAGGCGCACAACACGACGGCATCCATGATGGAGACACAACCGTGCGGCCACACCGGGTTCTACTGCCGAAGGTGCAGTTGTGCGATCACAAGTAACAATAATGATATCCAGTGATTCTGGTAATCTCGGTTGTGTGCGGGTCACATCAACAAGTCGTACCATACCATCAGCGACTTTAAACATATTATCAACAGGATCACAGAGAATCATTAATGCACGACAACACGGAGATGCAAACGCTGAAATCATTTCTTTGCGTGTACAACCAGTGTAGAGAGTCCATGGATGTGGCATATTGGTAAATAAAGGTGCAATACCAGCATAGTCCATAGGAATATTACTAGTAAGATTGGTACTACACGAATAGCGTGGATCCTCCAATGCGACAGAGATAGAACTCCAAACAGTTGCAGCAGATGACTTACGTGATTGTACACCAACACAAGAAGTCCCTTGTGAAGAAGGTTGAATAACTGTATTAGTTGCGGTTCTCATCGGTTTATCTGGAAGAAATATACAACGATCTTGATGAGGAGCATCTAGTATTGATATAGGATCTTCACGTCGCATACTATAAAGAAATTGAGCTAACGTTGGAGTTACCACCATTGTAAACTGTTGACCAATAGGTTCAGAACCAGGTGTAGAGTCTTGTAATGCTGGAAATGGTACATGCAGTAAAGTAGGATCAACAACAAGAATTAAACATTCTGCTTCATCAAAAGAACATTTTGCCATCCGCATTGAATATTGAAGAGGTCCCCATAAATCTGCATAAAAATCATGAAGACTTTGTATCAATGCATTATTCTCTGCTATCCACTCTGTATTAGATTCTTGTATAACTTGTGAAACATCTACAGAAGTGGCATTATTTTTTCGAGATAAAGGAATAATAGATGAAGGACTTTTTGCCCTCATTTTATCAGTAGATGTAGTTGCAAGACGAGGAGGTGAAGTACGCCCAGAGGTCGCTGTTTGTACAGAAGGTTGTGGCAGTACCTTCTTTGTATGATAATCATTCAAACCATAGGCTTGTACAGAACGTCTAAGAAAGAAAGAACGATCTGCAGGGCGAATAATAACTGTATACTGTGTACTGAACTCGGCAAAATAGAAAACAAAAGTACAGTGTGGAAATGATAAAAGTGCAAGATCCACAGCTTCAGCAGGATTACGAGGTATTAGTTGTTCCCGCATTATCAATGGCATAAGGGAAAGTTGTGAGGCCGTTTCCATAGTTTCCAATGCATAATGAAAAGAAAGTGTATGAACTCTAGCTAATTCCCGTTGTGAAAAATCTTGAATATGTTCTGATATTTCCGCTGGATGTGGTACCGCTGCTATTGCCTCATCACCTTCCATTACTGCAGGGTACTTACATAATGAAACATTAGCTAATAATGTAGGTGGATTCTTTGAAGGTGTTGCTGCTGCTGTTGTTGTTGTTGAAGGTGTTGTTGTTGTTGTTGTTGTTGTTGGTCCTCCATGAAATGGATGTATTGGGGGACTTACAGGTCTATCAATTTCAGGTAAATTATGAAAATCTTTTCCAAACTTTTCTGATGAACTCTTTTCTTTCTTATTATCATCCAGTAAGGAAGCCATATTCAGACCAATCATGGAAAAATTTGACAATGGTTCACCATCTTCATCAGAACCTTCATTATTGGATTCTCCTTCATGTGTACTTTCTTTACTTCCCCCTCCTTTACTTTGGCGTCGTTTTTTTAATCGTTCTTCTTCTTTCCTCATGAGAACATTAAGGTCGCCACTATCATTACGCACTTCAGTGTAATCTGAACTACTATTACTACCACTACCACTACCACTACTTTTACTATTACTTACACCACCAACACCAACACCAACACTACTACTATTATTATTACTACTAGTACCAGAAACATTTTCAGCAGGTGTTGTTGTTGTTGTTGTTAGTGTACTATTTTTAATAAAGGAAGCTCTTCCTGTCTTATCCCTTGTACCATCATCAAGTTTTACTTGTTCATCATTTAAATAAAAGTAGTGAATAAGCCACCGTGCTGACTCAATTACCGCTTGACAAGATTCACGATCCATCTCTGCTACACCAGCAAAAGTGGCAAGAGCTATTTTATGATGTCGCTTCGCCTTAAGCGTTTGACGTGCAGTCGCATACGCTAGTGCGAGAACAGCATTAGCATGTCCAACTTCTGCCCAATTTCCCAACAGTCTCGCTTCATGAGCCCAACTTGTTAGTACTTTAATCGCTTCTACTATTTCTTCATCTCCAAGGAGTGCCCGAGCCCGCATGTTAAGAAGTTTACCATTCCATTTACCACATTTATACTGTACTTTTTCTCGTTCATCCAAGGCTTTTATACACTCTTTATATTGACCTAACTGAAGATGAGCATCCGCGAGGGCTTCTAAAGCAAAACGTTTATCCGCAGCTGCATCCACACCTTCTGCAGAAGATGCTAAAGTATTTAATTCTTTTGCGGTAGTAATCACATCCATATACATACCAGCTGCACGTTGGGCTGCAACAATATTACGCATCGTTTCTCGACTTATTTCCTGATCTTCATACTCCTTTGCGAGTTCACTTACTTTAGCCCAATGATCTGCTGCCTTTTCTTTATCTCCTGTTGTTGTATAGAGTCTAGCAAGACGAATACGAGTATTGTACTGAAGTAAAGCATCACCAGACTCAGTGGCATATTCCAATACCTGACGGTAATAATGAATGGCAGTCTTAGGCTTTTCCAATGCGGTATAAACCTCAGCAAGTTTAGAAAGTACTAGTGACTCACCCATTTTATAATCACTTACCATTCGCTCTCTTTCTCTCTCAGACTGTACAGAATCAAATATAGAACTATCTGGATTACCTCCAGAATACATGGCAAGAGCATTTGAATATTCTTGAAGTGCATCTTCCCACTTACCTAAGGTTGCTAATGCATCACCACAGGTTATAGTAAGAATAGGAATTGTCTCATTCGCTTTACTCAAACATTTATAAAGGTCACTTCTATATTTAACTAGTACAGGAATATTTTCTTTTTCTTCTTTAGATGATTTACTATTAGATTTTTCTCCTGTAATAAAAGTTTTTATCCATGTTCTTACCTTTTCTAAAAATTCACATGCACTTCTAGTCTCACGACAGGCACGTTCACCATCATACCTGCTTAGACATTGTGTATGAACGTCACAAGCCGCAATTTTTAACCGAAGTGTTGCTAAACGTTTAGACATATCAATCACACTAGGGTTATTATTATTATTATTATTATTATTATTATTATTATTGGTAGTAGTAGTGTTAGCTGAATGAGCAGAGGTATTAAGTAAGTCTGACCATAATGGAGGACGTACAGATGCAGAATTAGCTTTATCAGCAATAAGAGGTTCAAGAAGTAAGGCTGCTTTTTTAGATTGACCTAATCGCAAGAGAGCTTTACATGTTACTACAAGAGAGGCAGCAAGATCTATAAGCATATCACTACTAGGTACTTTTACTTGTTCCACACAACGTAATAAAGCATTATGTGCCGCATATGCACTATTTACTGCATTGTTAAGTTGTTGTCGTCGTTCTTTAACATTAACTTCATGTTCGGCCTGCAATACATAAGCAAGAGCAAGACTGCGTTCACTTTCCGCTTTACGTCGAATCAACTGTAATCCATACTCTGTAGTAGGAGAAATTTCGGATATACTATCAGTCGTTTCAGAAACATTTGAATTCACAGTTCCTCCTTTTGTTGTTGTTGTTGTTGTTGTTGTTGGTTGTATAGTAGTAGTAGTAGTAGTGGTAGTAGTAGTTGATTTTGATGTAGATACGGATAATGCTTTTGGTACTATAGGGATATGCTTTGCATATTCAGCTGCTTGTTTGAAAATAACTACCGCCTCACCGTATTGTTTTTCCTCTTCTAATTCCTCTCCTCTTTCTTTTAAAGCTTTATAAGCCTCAATGGCTTGCCTAGAATGCCGAAGATTTTTAATATGATCCATGTAAAGTTCAAAGTACTTGGCAGTTTGTACAGAGTCATTCATACGATAATATGAAATCCAACTCATACGAAGATGAAATAACTTTGCTTGATAAATTTCACGCCGGGCCTCTGCATAACGTACAAGATAAATACCAGTCATTGGTGAAAGATCATTTATAACCTGTTCACATAATGAAACCTGTTGTAAAGCAAATTGTGTTGTTTCCAATAATGAGGCATTCATTTGACAAGCATCTTGTGCTTCTGCTAAAAGTCCCATTGAATTTAAATAATTAACACAACACAAATAAGAATTTTTACCTCCTGACCATTTTTTCTTGGCATTATTGAAATGTGTATTGGCTACTTTTAAAGCTGCAGAATAGTTACCAATGGCAATATTTACTTTAATAAGAGACTCAAGGGCTCCTTGCCTACATGAGAAGGACTTACCTATAAATGCTACAAAACGTTCCATATGTGCAAAGTTATCTGCTTCTTCAAGAAAATAAGAACCTGTATTTTCTTTATTACCACTATTAAGACATTGCTCTACACGTACATGTAAAGCTGTTGACCAAGCTATTTGAAATATAAATGGCATAATATCATCTTCAAAAAATAGACGCATAGCATCTCGTACCATTACTGTAGATGAGAGTGTACATTCTCCTTGAAGAGAAGTCACTGAAAGGGATCGAAATGAATGATTTTCCACATCACTTGCTGTTGTTGTTGGATGTTCTGAAACAGCTTGTGAAACATGAGAACTTTTTCGTATATGACTTAATGTTGGTTCTATTAAACCATCTCCAGTATTCATACCAGAAAGTCCATCTACATTAGAACCCACATCTTTTTCTGTATTTGCAAGAACAATATCAGGACTTAATGCTCGGTTAATATCTGTAGATGAAGAAGTCTCATAATTATATTCTAAGACTTTCTTTAGTACCTGAAAAGCTTCTTGTACACCTTCTTCCTCCCAATGAGGTGAACAAACAGCATAAGTTGTCATCATACGACAATGGGAAAGAGAAATAGAAGATAATATTTCATCCTGATTACTTGTTCGATCCGGTAAAAATGCAGATGGTTGTTCTTCAAGATAAGCAACCCATGTCCTAATAACATCTTGTTTAAACATCTGTTCTGTTTCTTCTACTACATCATCCATTAAAACAGATTCCGTAGGGTGTTCCACTGTTGTACCACTAGTGGATGGTATTACTTGATGATCCACTGTTTTCTCATTTATTCCATTTACAGCAGAAACTGTAGGAATCATTTGATTTCCTATAGTTTCATCAGAGGTATCATTTGACGAACTTCGTGGCTTTTGTAAGATATCTTGAAGTAGTTCACGTCCATTACTTTCACGCTTAATCCAAAGTGAAATTACAGATTCTACTATTCCTCGATGTTGAATATAGAAAATATCCATCATATCCAAAACAACTTCTTCCCATGGTACGGAACTAGTACAGGAATTACTATTTGCAACTACAGTTGAAGAAACTTCAGTTTTTTTTCCAGGTGTTTCCCCTAAATTAGAAATAGAATCATTTTCAATTTGGTGTCGTAATACAGCACGAAGAATAATCCAAGTAGTGATTGTATTTACCAATGTTAATTGTTCTTCTGATCCTCGACATTCATGTGATTTCATCTCTCCATTTAATCCACTATCAATTCCTGAGTTTGTAATGCCTGTTCCTTTTTTACCTCTTGTAGTTCCTGCAGTAATACTTGTAGCTGTAATTGTAGTAGTAATAGTAGGAGTTGGAGTAGCATTAGCAATAGTAGCAGATGGTGTTGGGTTAGAAACTGACATGGGTATATTCTCTCCACCCTCAAAGGTTAAACCAGATGGTGATGTGGGAAGACAACTCGAGGATCTTCTCGCAGGTGACAAAGGTGATAAGCCTGATGGTGTAGAACTCTGTAAAGGCTGTCGTGATCGCATTACCGTATCCATATAAGCAGCAATATCAATTTCTAAAAGGACATTTACAAGTTTCCATAACAAAAGACGCCATTGTTTTTGATTAATATTTGTTTCTGCAGCAACGTTATCAGCTTGAGGTAATGATGTATCCGTTTCTGTTTCTACTACTAATCCATTAGATGAGACAACTCCTCCACTTTCTTTTAATTCTGCTGGTGCTACTGTTGCTGTTGCTGGCGTTGTTGCTGTTGTTGTTGTTGTTGATATTGATGTTTCATTATCCTCATGATGCATTATCACCACTTCCTCTGAATTTCCCAAAGCTTGAGGCGTTCCACTAACACTCTTTCGACCTTTATTTGTTATCCTTTTCTCCGGAATGGCGACTAAGCAGAGATCCAACGCGGCAATTAATTCTTCACGCTCTTGTCGTAGTGAAGAAACCGCCTCTCTTGAGAGAAGTTGTATTCCATCCAACCGTATCTCAGATAAAGCCACTTCATCCTTCGCACGGGAACCGAAAGAATCGGAAATGGGTCGTCTGGACTCCAATAGGTGCTGGACATACCGCAGTGCAGCTTGGGTTCCCTCAAACGGTGCTGTTGGACGTTGTGCTAAAAGATGCTGTTGTTGTTGTGATTGTGATTGTTGCTGTTGTTGTTGTTGCAATTGGCATGTTTGTGAGGAGTCGGAGCTACCGCTATACCTATTCGTGTTCTCTTTGCCCCTTCCCTTTTTCCAAAAACTTGTGAGCGTTTTGAGGTTCATTTCACAGAACTGTAACCACTTGCAGCAGTACTGAAAAAAGAAGGAATAAGAACTTTGATGAAGGATAAAAAAGAAAGGAATAAAGGAAGAAAAGAAAAAAAAAAAGAATAATGGGAAACACAATGGAACGACTTGTGTCCTTTCCCTTTTTTAACAGAAAGTAATCATCGAAAATAAAAAAATAATAATAATAAAAAGAAAAAAAAAAAACATGAAAACAAAAGATAAGCAGAAAACCATACGGAGATAAATTCACCTCATATTTTTACCGCCTCACATCTTAACCTCCCTCGAGTACCAAAGGAACACATCCCACCCATCTCTCTCTCTCTCTCTCACACACACAAACAAACACACACGCAAAGAAGTATACAAATACACACAAATACATCCCAACGGGTCTCACTTCCCACCCTCTGCTCGACGCTGCCAAACTTCCCACGGTCGCACCTCATGCGCCTCACGCGAGATATGATCCAAATACACCACAGTCCCGTGATAAAGGATCTTCTCCCACCCTGGTGGAAGCACCTCACCATCACTGGAGCACATCATAGCATACAGATCTTCCTCCGTCATGGTCCCAACATTCGGTCGATGAAGTACTTGCTGCTCTTGCTCTTGTTTTTGTAATTGCAGTTGTGGGAGTGGTGGTGGTGTTCGTCGATGTGGCACTTCTGTGCGAGGTCGGGTGTAATTGCGACCATCAGTGGTATCAGGAGATCGATCACGATGTGCACCAAACCCACGTCTTGACATCACACTACAGCAAAGCGGTACACCTGATGATCTCACGTTTAGAGTGAAGACTCTAGGATTAGACACTTTACTTGAGTAATAAAAAGGAAATAAATAAAAAGAAAATATACAATCATGAGGTACAAAGAGAACATCTCAGAGAAAAAATTATAATACAAACAAACAAAGATAAAAAAAAACAAAAATATGTGCTTCACGATGTGTTCAGTGGCAGCGAAAAATAGTATTCATCATGGTCAGACAGCAACAGTCCCAGCGGCCAAAAAGGACCACAGTGGGTGCTGGAGTCACCGTAGTGTGGAAGAGGGGTGGAAGATATTCAGAGAAACGACAGTTCATGCAAGAATGCAAATGTATATGTGCTTCACGGTGTGTTCAGTGGCAGCGAAAAATAGTATTCATCATGGTC